TCGAGTGGTGTGTTGAGAGCACGGGCAGAGACGCGGGCCTGGAGAGAGGCCGTTTACGAGAAGTAGAGAAAGCAGAAGTCACGGCGAAGCAGCTAGGGGAAAGATAGTCGCAGCACAGGGAGAATGGAGAAAGCATATTGGAGAGAGCAGACGGCGAGAGAGAGAGTTCGGGTGTGCTGTGAGAGGGAAAGAGAAAAGCAGAGAGAGAGGGAGAGGGCAGTGAGTGATGGGGCGAGAGACCGTATACCCAATGCGAACAGTGTGCGCCTAAATATGTCGTCGCGATTCGCCAAGACCGATTGCCCGATTGATTAAAGTCAGTTCATCCCCCTCATTGGCACACGTTCACGCCCCGCGCGACGTATCATATACTAGTATACGTACCGCGATAAGAAGAAACACATGGCCGCACCCGCTTTAACGTGCTCGGACCGACCCCCGGACAAACGAGAGAAAGTACCACAGTCAGGCGAAGTGAAATAAAAAAGATGCGGCCGAGAAAATCCTCCCTAGCGACCTGCCCCCGAAGTATAGATGCACGCACTGCCAAGGCGCCGATCCGGCGCATGCGCATCACGTCACATCCATGACAGACCGAGCTTCTGCAGAACTTCAAACAGCCACTCAGCGAAAGAGTTAGATATCCCTCGCGAAAGCTTCATCCGCGTTGTTACGCCGCCCGGCAGTCCGGAGTCGATGTCCTCCACAAAACGCTGTCTTACTCGTCAATCTAAGGGACGTAGTGGCTGGGTATGGACTGGGTATTTTTGTCGTTCTAGCTGCTTGCTGCTCGGGTTCACATGCTAGCGAGACGAGATGACGGACTCCGGAATGCCGTATTTGGACTGGACACTAGCACAGCGGGACGGTGCAGAAGACTATTCAAACGAGAAGTTCACGTATCTCAGATTGTCAGCGATAATCAAACAGTGAACAAATTAATACGCCGTGTCTGTTTCGAGTTAGGATTCCTGCTTTACCCCTCACAGGTTTTGTATTATTGATTTCATTGTCTGTTTCGTTCCTTGCGCTTTCCAGGCTCTCCCGCGCCGTTCTGCTTACCTTCTTTATTACTTCTTCTGATATTTTTGTCCTTCTCCCGTTTGGCAGCCGTTTGCTTCCTTTTTTAATTCGCTTCTATTTAAAGTCCGCCACCATGTTTTCACTAGTTAATTCTACAGTACTTATTTTCCCATTTTTTCTTCCGCTTTTCTCTCTTCCTTCTTCTTTCTTCCCTAATCTTTCTTTTTTTCATCTATCTACTATTCTTCGTTCCTTTCTTCTCTTCTTTTTCTTTTCTTCTTCTTGCTTTTTCCGTTTTTTCTTTCTCCTCGGTTTTATTTTTCTGCTTATATCTTTTCTTCCTCTCGCTGATCGCGAAGTACCAGCTTATAACCAGTGCTTAGATAACTACTTCTCACAGCTTCCCCACCAGCTGTAGAGAGAGAGAGAGAGAGAAGAGAGAGAACGAGGAGGAGAGAAAGAGAGAGGAGAGAGAGAGAGAGATGAAGAGAGAAGAGAGGAGTAGACCGCAGAAGATGAGAGCAGCGACGGATACGGGAGGCCCCCCACTAAAGAGAGAGACGAGACAAGAGAGAGAGAGCAGAGAGAGAGAGGGAGGAGAGGGAGAGGGCAGAGAGAGAGAACGAGAGAGAGAACGAGATGAGAGAGAGGGAGGGAGAGAGAGAGAGAGAGAGAGAGGGAGGGAGAGAGAGAGACAGCGAACTAGACAACCCCGCTATGTGAGAATCGTATACGCATGATGGTGCCTCATACACCAATTTTCCTGCCGACTGAAACGCGATGCAATACATTACAGTTGTCCTTGCAGATCTCGCATCACTCCGTGTTCCTGCTACTCGCTCGATATCCGCTGTTTGTCAGGCATCGGTGTACCAAGTATGCACGCGCACAAATTTGTGAAACCCCATAAATGGCTGGGGAGGGGGCGTGCGGTGCGTGCGTGATGCACACACACACGCGTGAGAGAAGCTCTCTGATGTGCACAGGTAAGGTACAAAGAGAGGACGATACGGAGATTGACGTGAAAGGGCGCCGTATTTAAGGCGCATATAAGGTTGCGTTAAGGCCTAAAGAAAGCTGTGCTTAAAGCGTATGGAACGTTGTGTTAAGGCTTAAAGAAAACTGTTAGGGCTAATAAAAGGCACCGCTAAGGCCTAAAGAAAGCTACGTTTAACGCGTATTAGGCCTAGAGAAAGCTGTATTAAGGCCTATATAAACGGCCGCGTTAACGCCTGAAGAAAGCTGATCTAAGGCGTATAGAAGCACGCGCTAAGGTGCGTGTAGAATATTAACGTATATAACTGTTGATTGCCGTGCCTTCGACCGCCGCGCGATGAGTGTTGTAAGCGGGTTCATTGCATGTTCGCGAGGTTCATTGCATGTTCGCGATGTTCATTGCACGTTCGCGATGTTCATTGCATGTTTGCGATGTTCATTGCATGTTCGCGATGTTTATTGCATGTTTGCGATGTTCATTGCATGTTCGCGATGTTCATTGCTTGTTCACGGTGTTTATTGCATGTTCGCGATGTTTCAGTGCATGTTCGCGATGTTCATTGCATGTTCGCAATGTTCATTGCACGTTCGCGATGTTTATTGCTGGTAATTTATTTTATGTTCATTGCTGGTAGGTTTACTCGGCGGAGGCGTGTACTCGCGATGCGAAAATAGATCTTGAGAAAAATAGGTCGGTTTCCCGCGCTTTCTTATTCTAAAAAAAAACTTCGACGGGTTACGGCTGTCGTCTGGCTGGGTGTGTCACGTCCTTACATCGGAATTCATCGGATTGTGAGGGCGTGCGAAGAAATTGCCGCAAGTAAAAAAATAAAGTGGTGCGATAAAAACACGTCACCCACATAAACGCCATCTTGTTTTCTTCGTAGAAGTTCTGTATTGATGAATATTAATTATGTAAGGTTTTTTCACAACCCATTTTTGTTATCGTGTGGTGAATATTTTAGTTAGTAGTTTTATTTTAAATTATCATGAGCGCACGTGCACGCACATACATCGAGATTATTAGGCCTATATATGCGTGCTGCGTGATGAGAAAAAAAACTGAATCAGAAATATTTGTCATTTACAACCAAATGACATTACATAAATATGCATATAAAATTGCAATTCTCGCAGGGAAAAAATTGCGTTAGTACGTGCGTCCCAACCCGGCCACACGTCTGTCCACGCATATATATGTATGTATGTATATATATATATATATATATATATATATATATATATATTCATACGTCAGACACAAAAGTGCAGACGAAAAATTGGAAAGACCGAAACCGATGTAACGGACCCGATGAATAGCATTCAACCGTCTGTATCCTAATGTACATGTCATGTTCGAAGTGGACCCTATTCTAGACTTCTTTCTAGACTAGACTTTCTCGGCGATCATGGTTTGCTAGGATTCGTTTCACTATATGATTTCCGTGGGGTACATCCTCGAATTCTCGCATGCTAACGCGTGGAATGGCATTTCAACATCTTGTCTGACATTCACGCGTTTTCCATTACCGGTCGTCTCGCTTTTCTGTTTGCGATTCACGCTTCAGCGATCCATGTTACCTCCCATCGCGTATCTACACCGATGTGAAATAATAGTGATGATCAGAAATTCTGCTAGTTTTCGCGCAAAGTGTCACATTGTCTTTCTCTCTTGCTTTATCCATCTATCGATCTATCTATCTATCTATCTACTTTTTAATTTTTTCTCACCTTCTTTCTTCTCTCTGTATATAAATAAATATACAATATGTTTATAATATAATATAATATAAAATATATACTCGCAATAATTAAGACATTGATACCAAACGCAGTATGACATAAATATCGATTATTTATTGATCGTTCGGTAATTGTAATAAACTTTCGATCAACGCCGGAATAAATTACGTCTAATAAAAATATAATGATTTTTTTCAACGAGTCATATCCCTAACGTACATACGTTACGTACATACGTTACGTACATAGGCCTACGTGTATAAAACAACGCGATATAGGTTTCGTAACGAATGACCTATTTAACGTTAACATTATTCCGTCCGGAATTAGCACGATACGTAACCACAGCGATAATATTCGACATCGTATTATAAACTCATAATTCGTTGTAAGTTCGTATCCAAGCGTTCCTTCTTCTATGCACATTTTTCTCGATAAATTACCGTTAGGTGTGTGTGTATAATATATAATGTACCATAGGCGGGAATATAAAAACATCCCTCTCTCGTCCTCTCTCTCTCTCATCTCTCTAATTCTGTGCCTCGCAGATAAATGAGAACGATTTACATGATAATGGTGGAGGAGGTGGACGCGGGCCACATCGAATGAGAGCAATTTGTGGTCGTAAAATAATCAAATTCAAACGACACGGCTCCTTTGAGAGTGAATAGTTATTGCCTGGGCCGCCCAGGCTACGCACGTTTATACTAATTATATTTTGATGGAGAGAGAGAGAGCGAGAGAGTGAGAGAGAGAGAGAGAGCGAGAGAGCGAGAGAGCGAGAGAGCGAGAGAGCGAGAGAGGGGAGAGAGGGGAGAGAGAAAGAAAAAGAGAGATATGAGAGGTATGATTTCTCTCCATCTCCCGCCATCCCTCTGTCTTTTCCTCACTCTCCCTTTCCCGCTCTCTCTCTCTTTCTCTCTCTTTCTCTCCTCGCTCTCTCTCTCCTCTCTCTCTCTCTCTCTCTCTCTCTCTCGCGCTCTCTCTCTCCCTCTCTCTCTCTTTCTCTCGCTCTCTCTTTCTCTCTCTCTCTCTCTCTCTTTCTCTCTCTCCTCGCTCTCTCCTTGCTCTCTCTCTCTCTCCTCTTTCTCTCTCTCTCTCTCTCTCTCTCTCTCTCTCTCCCTTTCTCTCTTTCTCGTTATACTAATGTTTACTGCTTCAACCGGCGCTCACGCTGGCGCACGCACGGCGGACAACGAGGTCTCTCTCATCACGGTGATCACCGCTATTATCACTCGTTAGAGATGGATTGTGTTATCATCAGCATCACCTAGTGAGCTGGAGTGTAGCAGAACAGGCTGTGCACCAACACTGTTAGCCTTGGCCTTGTTGATGTAGGGCGTCACGAGGCGACCCACCACACACCGTTAGTTGTATTAACAGACGTTCTTGTAACCCTTCTTTCCATCTGCGTTCATCCTACGCCTCCTCCTCCTTTTTCGTCTTTCTCCTCCTCTTTCTCCTCCTCCTCCTCCTCATCAACATCTTCATAACCACCATAAGTAGTACTGGTAAAGGTTTATGCTAATATCTCTCTTATTTTCCTTCTTCTTCTCCTCCTCCTTCTTCTCCTTCTCCTTCTTCTCCTCCTTCCCCCCCTCCCTCATCATCCTCATCATCATCATGCGCATAATCTCCTACTTGTCCTCCTTCTTCTTCCTCCTCTTCTCTTCCCTCCTCCTCTTCATCCGTTTCCTGCTTCGCCTCCCCAGTAGTGATTCCCACTACTCCCCTCATCACATTTCTCCCCGCACGATTGCCCTCCCTCCTGCGGCGCGCATGCGCACTCGCCTTCCGTGCGCATCGTGCAATTCAGCCCGCCCTCGGACTCGGATTCGTTGTCGTCATCGTCATCGTCATCGTCGTCGTCATCGTCGTCGGCGTCATCGCTGAGCGTCTCTTCCACGATCAACCCTATCTTCTTTCCGAGCATGTAGAACTTTCTGCCGACCTCCTCCTGTACGAGGTTAAAACACATCGATATCAGCGCCAACCCGAACAGCAGATAGAGGGCGCACGTGGCGAGTTTCGTCTGCGCGTCGGCACCCTGCGACAGTAGCGACGCTCCGGGTACGAAGTCGCCAAACCCGATCGTCGACAGCGTAACGAAGCAGAAGTAGGCGCCATCTAGTAGCTTCCATTTCTCCCAGACGGAGAAGATGAAGGCGCCGAGCCAGATGTAAGCGATGAGAAGTCCGAGGCAGAGAGTGACGGGCACCGTCACCCTCGTCGTGTCGATACCGGAGTCCGCATCCCCGCCGCTGCCGTTGTTGCTGGTACTGTCGTCGTGCAGCGACGGCGCCGTTGACGATACCGGCGGCGGCGGCGCCACCGTCGCGTGCAGCCCGTTCTCGACGAGTTCGAGGTTGTTCGCGCAGACGCCGTGAGACTCGCGCGTCAGCGGGATGCTGACGTCAGCGTGACGTTTCGCGTGACCTTTAAGGTCACTCTGCTCGCGACGCAACTTCCGGCGATGCCGAAGGTGCCTCTTGCGCAGGTAGCCGTGCTTTAGTTTCTTGTACTGCATGAGCAGACGAGCGTACAAGTACTTGAAGGAGTGCGCGAGGAAGTCCCCGATGTTTGCGAGGCAGAGGAGCATTATGGGAATGCCGATGACAGCGTAGAGTATCGTGAGTAGCTTGCCGGCGTACGTGCGCGGGGCGAGGTTACCGTAACCTGTAACACAGACAACAACAACCCATGAGAGCGCGATCAGTAATGTAAAAGAATAATCGGATAAGAAAAATGGCGACGAGAGAGTCTAGAACTCGTAGAAAACAAAACAACATGAGAGCGCGATCAGTGATGTAACGTAGTAATCAGACAAGAAAAATGGCGATGAGAGCGTCTAGAACTCGTATAAAACGACATCCCATAATAGCGCGATCAATAAAGAAACGAAGTAATCGATCAGAAAACACGGCGAGAGTCTAGAACTCTGTAACAGCTGTCTTTCTACTGTTGCACATTCCGATCGTATATAACAACCGTCATCAATGTCAACAGGATTGTTTTCCTGAAGCTGTCTTGTTGACCCTAGCAATTCGTAGAACTAGTTTGAGTTGACCGAGCGTGAGAGCAGCAAGCGCTGAAACATTCAGATCAAGATATGCGGAAGATTCTGTTGCCACATAGCTTTAGTTTTTATTGATTTAGCCGTTTGAGCGAAATAGCCCGGTTTTATCGGTCAATATCAAGCCAATTTATGCGTGTTTGCCATGGGCGCACCCCATCACAAGCACTTTGAACGTTTTAATAATAAAATAAGGATGAATAAACACAAGTTGAAGTTACTAATATACTACTAAAGTCTTCATATTGATGTCATCTCTATCGCCTAAACATCCCACGTAAATACTGGTGAAATGCACCCCGAGAACACAATATCACCGCACGCACTGCGACTATGTCTGCGGACACCCTGCAGCATACCTATCCGTCTGTGAGTTTGTTCACAGAGGCGGGCGTGCGGTGGGTTTTGCAGAAGAGCATTTGATCGGCATTTACGTGGAATTTTTTGAACACGTTGTCGACGTGGACGTTATAGGAAAGGTTCAAATATTGGTACATCAGATCTCCGTAATGACATATAGAGAGATTCATCACTCACTGCGCGTATAGCTGCTTGCAGTATGAATACAGTTTTTTATTAAGACAGTTTCTTAAGACAAAGGTAAAGCCAAAATTAAAAAACAAAGTTAAAACTAAAGTAAAAAACAAAGTTAAAACCAAACTTAAAAAACAAAGTTAAAACTAAAGTAAACACGTAATTTTAGAGTTTCCGGTTAATTCATGTTGGTAATATGAGCTTTCTTGCGTAACGGTTCTGCTCCCGAAAACACGAGAAAATTATCCGTATTTTCACGGTTCGCAGAAACGTAAAATGTTCCAATTAAAGCGTAAAATTCTCGCGTCCCGAAATTAACCCGTTTTCCAGCTCCCCTCGTTCAAACATCGCGACAGCGTGCATTTTCTCTCACCCCAATGACGTCACGCGGCCGTGACGTCACCGTGGCTGGCCATCATTCTATGGAGGCGTAAGTGAGCTTCCTAGTCGGTCGTAAAAAATACATGGCGCGCGTTTAAAGGCGATCCCGCTAACGAATAAATTCCTGGAGGAGGAGCGATAATTATTATCGCTCCTCCTCCAGGAATCTAAACGTGGAGGGACTGACATGGTCCGTGGTCGGGAAAAAGAAGGGAAGGGGTGATAGTGAGGGATGAAGGGGCAGATAGAGACAATGTGGGATATATAGTAACACGCACACACACACACACACACACACACACACACACACACACACACACACACACACACACACACACACACACACACACACACACACACACACACACACACACACACACACACACACACACACTGGCATAACATGTTACGATTGAATTCAATATAAAAGCTATTGTGTCAGAGGCGATATATTGTTAATTAACACGCATAAGCTATACTTAATCTTCTTTTAAATTAATCACGGCTTTGTATTAAGTGATCGAATTCGTTAATGGGATTTTTCGGCGGACATTGCCTTACGTACGTACATATACGCACCGCACGCAGCACGTCGACTGCACGCACGCACGGCTCACGAGGCAACGTACGCTCTCGCTCAAGGCAACTCACGCAAGCACGATCGCAGCATGGCACGCATGCACGCACTCCATATACTGATGCACACACGCCATCGAGCGGATACTATGCCACGCGCACTGACGCAGCGTACGCGTGGGCGCGCACGTACCGAGATAGGCTGTGGCCACACAACATATATTTATCACATATCATCCACAATATTTGTCGCATATTGCGTGCAGCAAATCATAAGGGTTACACGAAGCTTTCGCTCTTTCTGCTCTCTCTCTCTCTCTCTCTCTCTCTCTCTCCTTCTTCTCTCTGCTCCTTCTCTTCTCTCTCTCTCCCTCTCTTCTTTCTCTCTCGTCGCTCTCTTTCTCTCATTCTCGCTCTCGCTCTCTCTCTTCTCTCGGCCTCTCTCTCTCTCCTCTCATCTCTCTGCCTCTCATCTCGTTGTTACTCGCTATTCCTCACTGTCATAACGCTGCTCTCTCTCTCTCTCTCTCTCTCTCTCTCTCTCTCCCTCTGGCTCTCTCATCTCTCTCTCTCCTGCTCTCCTCCACTAATCGGGCTATCACTATTCACTATCATATCACTAGCTATCCCTATCACTATCGCTCATCACTATGCTTAACAGCCTGCCGCACATACGGTGTGTTCTCTGTGCCGGCGCCATCGGGCCACGTGCGTGCTGATCGGCGCAGCACAAAACACCGTGCTGCGCGTGCAACACAGCGATTTCTTCGGCGTGTTGGAAAATATCACACGTGTTTGATCATTTTCTTTCCACGTGTGCGCGATTCCACACGCGTGTGAGGTGTGCCTGTGTCAAGTTCCAGCCAGCCGGTCTATGTAACCGAGCCAATAGGCCGCAGCGTCAAGCGAGTCAACGTGGGATTCTTAACTTGCGGCTTGCAGCGCGGGTTGCAACTGCGGTAAGCAGACCGTAACAAGCCGCACACGGGCCTACACGCAGATACAACCACGTACACGCGGTATAGCACGTACACGCTGGTACACGCACGTGCTCGCGGGGTACCGCACGTACACGCGGTACACGAGAGCACGTACACGCAGGTACACGCCACGCTACAACGCACGTGACACACGCGGGTAACGCGGATACACGCACGTCACCGGCACGTACCGCGCAGACACGCACGTAACACGCGCGGTACACGCACGTAGCACACGATTACACGGCACGTACACGCGGGTACACGCACGGTACAGCCGGTTACACTGCACGTACACGCGGGTACAACTCACGTACACGCTAGATACACGAGTACACGTAACACGCGGGTAAACGCGATACACGCACTTACACACGGTACACGGCCCGTACACGCGGGTGACACGCGGATACACCACGTACACGCACGTAGGCATGCGGGTACACGCACGTACACGCAGGTACAGCCGCACGTGACACCGCGGTACACGGCGATTACACGCAGCGTGACACGCGGTGTACCGCCAGCACGTACACACAGATAGGCAACCCCCGGTAACACACACGTGCACGGTGATGGGTGCGGGTACACGCACAACGTAACGCGGGTAACACGGAGATAACACGACAACAGTACACGGCGCGGTACACGCACGGTACAGAGCGCGAACGCGGGTAGCGACGCATGAGTACACGCGGGTAACAGCGCACGTAACACGCGGGTGACAGCACGTACAACGCAGATGCACGCACGTACACACAGATACACTGCACGACGCCCTGTACACCGGGTACACGCGCCGCACGTGCCACAGGACGCCCGTGCCGCGAGTACAGCGCACGTCACAGGGGTACACGGAGATCCACGCAACCGTACACGCCGGGTAGCACGCATGGGTGCACGTGCGTGTACCGGCGTGTACGTGCGTGTATCGTTCGTGTACGTGGAGTGTACGCGCGTGTACGTGCGTGTACGCGTGTCGTGACGTGTATATCGCGTGTACCGCCGTGTACGTGCGGCTGTATGGTGTGTGGTGACGCTGCGTGTCTCTGCGTGTACGTTGCGTGTACCCGCGTGTACGTGCGTGTACGTGGCGTGTATCTGCCGTGTACCCGCGTGTCACGTGCGTGTACCGCGTGTAGCGATGCGTGTATCTTCGTGTACGTGAGTGTACGCCGGCGTGGTACGGTTGCGTGTAGCGCCGCGTGTACGTGGCGTGTATCTCGCGTGTACCCGCGTGTACGTGCGTGTATCTGTGGTGTACGTGCTGTATCTGCGTGTCAGTGCGTGTACGCCGCGTGTACGTGCGTCGTACGTGCGTGTATTCTGCTGTGTACCCGCGTGTTACGTGGCGTGTACCCGCGTGACACGTGCTCGTGTATCTGTGACTGGTTTTTCTTACGTGGGCGTTATCTGTGTGTACGTGCGTGTACGGCCGCATTGTACGTGCGTGTACGTGCGTGTATCCCGCGCGTGTCCGCGTGTCGTGCGTGTACCCGTGTGTAAGTGCGTGTATCTCCGCGTGACCGCGTGTAACGTGTGTGTATGCCTGCGTGTACGTGAAGTGTACCTGCGTGTACGTGTGCGTGTACCCGCCGTGTACGTGCGTGGTACGCCCGCGCTGTACGTGCGTGTAGTCTGTGGTACGGTGCGTGTACCTCGCGTGTACGCTGCGTGTATCCGCGATGTAACCGTGCGTCGTACGTGGGCGTGTATCCGCGTGTACCCGCGTGATACGTGCGTGTCGTGGGCGTGTGACCGTGCGTGTACGTGCGTGTAACCCCGTGTACGTGCGTGTACGCGCGTTTAGGCACGTGACGTGTACCCCGCGTGTACGGCTGCGTATAACCCGCGCCGTGTACGATTGCGTGTAATCTGCGTGTACGTGCGTGTAACCGCAGTGCAACGCGCGCTGCAAAACCGCAAGTTAAGATCACGTGACTCGCCAGCGGTTGACCTGCTGCATTGGTCGTTACATACGAGCCGCGGTGTGGCACTTGACA